GCTACCATTGGTGGTATTGAACTTACCAATAAGACGATCGTTCTTGGTAGGGTATATTATCAAAATAGACTTTTGGATATTAAAGACGGAAGAATATCCGCAGAAACTAAAGCTCAAGGTTTTTTTTTTTTTATTATCATTATTTTGAAATTTTATAATTTATGCTTTCACTAAAATTTTTATACCTATTACGTAATTAAGGATTTAACTTTGCTTATCGAAAAAATAATCCACAAATGAATAATCCTCTCATTGGTGGACCACAAACGTCCGGAATCGGTGTGCCTACAAGTCCATATGCTTTAGATAGAGCTAGACGTCAACAATCTCAATTACAACCTTCACCTGCGCTTCCACCTCAACCATCAAATGGTAGTGGTGCTATACCGTCTCCAATTATGACTCCACAAAGATCTACATCACCTGAATCATCACCTAGTCTTGTTAGCCATTGGAAACAACCAATGACTGAATCAACAACACCGAATGATTGGTCATCATCATTGAAGGGTACTCAAGATCATATTGAACGTTCTAGTGATACCGGTAACAGCGGTAACAATGAAAACATAACTATCAACAATGTTATTAACTCTAATACAGGACATAGTAATGGTACTCAAATGGCATGGGCTGATCAGACACAAAATGAAACACCTAATTGGGGAAGTAAACCAGATTTGAATGATTCTTCTCAACCTCTGGAAAATGGAGATATTCCAAACAGTGAAGATGATTTGAGTAATAATAATAATAATAATAATAGTAATATTAATAATAACCAACCTCAACAACAAAATCGTAATCAACAAAATCGTCGTAATGTAAATATGCATTTGGTTTATTTATTTATTTATTTATTTATTTTAAAAAAAAGGTAAGCCTATACTTATTTGGCTGTTTTTAATCGATTACAGAAAAACGCCTTCACAGTTTTTGTTGGTAATTTGGCTCTGCCTGTAACTGAAGAAGAATTAAAGGAATATTTCGAGGCAGTTGATTGTCAGGTGATTATCGCGAATATTGTACTATTTTTGTAATTTTGAAAAAAAAAAAATAGGATCTTACCCATTTTTCATTACTAGGTTGAAAAGGTCCGATTGATGCATGATCGTGTTTCACAAGTTCAACTTAGTCATGCATATGTGGATTTCCAGGACGAAGCTTCGATTGAAAAAGCAGTATCATTAAACGGAAAGGTAGTTTAAGAATTTTTTTTTTTTTTTTTTATAAATTTCATTTTTTACAACTAATCTAATTACTTTTTATTTCAATTAAAGCCATATGGTCTAACTAATAATCCGTTAAAAATTAATCGATATCAATATCATGAACGATCATTTCGAGGTCGGGGTCGAAATCGCGGACGCGGACGTTATATGAACCACCGAGGACGTGGTGGACATGGAAATAATTCACATAATAATGGAAATCAAATTCAGAATGGAAGTCAATGATCAGTTTAAAACAATTCTAGTTTCGTAGAAACTAATTTTCTCCTTTTATTTAATATTTTATACAGTAAACTCTCTCTATAACGAATTGATTGTTTTTTTTTTATCGTAAAAAAAATTTTTAAAAATTCGTTATATCCAGAGTCAACTGTATACTATATATATATATCATATATATTATATATATTCGTTTTTTTTTTTTTTGTTTTTT